AACGGGTGATGATGTGTGGAAGTCACTAACACACTACAGCGTATTTGTCGCTGACGCGGTTCCTTAATTTATAGATGACGACATTTCATTTTCCAAGTTGACGAAGCAAACAAGTCCCCCTAGTAGACGACGCAACTTGCACTTTTCAAGTTGTCGACGCAAAACGAGTCCCCCTAGTAGACTTTGCATTTTTCATTCCAAGTTGACGCAGACACACTTTTTTCTAGTAGACGACGACGCATATAGCATTCATACTCAAGTTGACGCAGACGCATTTTTTCTAGTAGACGACGACGCACATTGCATTTTTAAGTTGACGCAGACCGTTTTTCTGGTAGACGACGACACAAGATGTACAGTGCATTTTCAAGTTCGATATCCGAACGGGGACTAATAATTCAAAATCTATAATGCATATTACATAGTATAACCTGTGGTGCACCATAGCTACAACAAAAGCTACATAGTATATTTGGTTATTAGACAATATCTGGTTAAATCAAAAGTAACAAATGTCACCTCTTGAGGGCGCTCTACTCACGTCATATTCTTTAAGTAAGCCAAGCCAGTCGCACTCCTCCTGCACGATACAACTGACTGTCATCTGATGTAATTCACGTAGTATAGCTCTATCTGGATATATCTGGAATAATGAGAAAATTGGTCACGTGTCGTGAACGCTTTATTTTTTTGTAATATACGTTGAGGTTCACAGAAGACCTAATGTCATTCACTGACTAGTGTGGAGATGTGTAATGCTATCTTAGACCGTAGATCTCTCACGGAATTTGACATTATCTGTATTGTAGTTTCAGGACATTGACAGCATGTTATGCCATATGTAACATCTCTATACACAAAAGCTGTATTTGAAATAAAAAGTTGCAAACAGTTTTAATTTGAAGAGTAAAATATTATTCTAACCATATAAATATATTATGTTCATCGTAATCACAATATAACTGCAATATAACGACACCCCCAAATACGAATGCAGCATTGAATTAGTAAGACGCGTTGTAATTGGTTTACAAATTCCGTTAGAGAAAAGTGAAATTTGTTGTAAATTAGGAACCATAATTTGAAACGTACAGAGCATCGAATATGAATCGCACTTCTCTGTAAATCACGCAATTCATGAAACATATTCAATATTTTGATAATAATAATGATTTTTTTTATTCCAGTATAATAATCTTATATAAAACAGAAGTAAGTACAACCAGACATCAGTGAGAAGTAAATTAAATATCTAGAAATAGCTCAATTGAGAGTAAAACTCGCTTCAGACTCGTGTAATAGTTTATTCGCACTATTTTGAAGACGTGCGTATATTGTATACATACGCCTAAACGCGTCAAAAGCAGGGCCATTTTTAGACATATACCTACACCAAGAACTGCAGTCACGTGATAGTCCCACAATTGATTTGATTCATTTCTGACTATATTCTCACCATGAAAGTGAACAATTCATTCAAATACAAAAGGGCGAAATTAAACGACTTTAACTTTTAAAATTATCATAATTCCCAAATGTTATAATTAGTGAATTTAGCATAAAAACAAACAAGTTTTACGTCAAATGTTATCACCGAATTTTATCGTATAATTATACACAATATTTAATTTGTGCTCATCAAGATATATCGGTCTATGAGATAAAACTCAATATATTTAATAATATTTGACTTCGTAGATTGAAACGTAAATGCTGTTACATAGTGATTAGCTAATACATTAATTTACAAATAATAGCTGCGCACATGTGGTGATTAGTAACGGTGTCAGCAATGCTGCAGCCATTGCCGCTGCATATGAAAGTTATATTACATTAATCCATGGACACATTACAACAACTGCGTAGTCGGCATGCTGCCCTGAAAATCGTCATTATTAACAAAGATGGTGTTTGAAATCATGTCCTATGATTTAAGC